AAAAGAGCGGGGCGCGTGCGCATACATACACATACACAAAGCTCTCGCGCATGCAAAGCAGCACGGCGTGGAACGGGACGGGAGGAGAGAGAGAGAGAGGGAGAGAGAGAGAGAGAGAGAGAGAGAGAGGCACAGGGGTTTTAGCTTCACACTAATCAATAAATGATCAATAAAGAGAGAGAGAGAGAAGGGAACTCCTGCGCGCGCGAGGACTTATTAGGGGTAATAAGTGCCTCGCGAGCCCACCCCTCGGCACGTGCGGTTTAAGTTCCGACTATTAAGCTCCTTTTAGCTCAGAAGGGAGGAAGAGAAGAGGAGAAGAAGAGCAGCAGACAGAAAGGATGGAGATAGAGGGATGTAAGTGGGTGAGAAAGATAGAGGAAAAGAGGGAGAAGGAGGGACGAAAGGAAGAGAAAGTGCAAAGTTTAGAACAAACAAATAAACAAACAAAAAAAAGGACCCACATTACCAGCATGGTTTCCATCGGAGGAGGCTGCAGTGTCCGGTAGAAGCTCAGTAAGGAGACAAGCTGGAGATGGAGGGAGTAAAAAAAAGAGGGGAAAGAAGGAGGGGGGGCAGATGGAGGGGATAAGGGGGGGCAGGGGAAGAGAGGAAAAAGAGAAATGGAAAGAGAGAGAGAGAGGCAGAATTTGAATTGGAGGTGAAAGGTGATGGGGTCAGAGGAATAGAGGTGGGAGGGGGCACGTGCAAGGGGGACACATATCACAAACACACACTCTGGCCGTGGCCGTGACTCTCGGCGGTTTCCATGACGACCTAATGGTTGCTCCAGAGTAGTGGATGGGATATTAGAGAGAGAGAGAGAGAGAGAGAGAGAGGGAGAGGGAGAGAGCGAGAGAGAGAGAAAGAGAGATGATGAATAGCCTTATAAATAACTTATTTCCCATTTATTTCTGCTTTTGTTTCCTCACATTTGTAACCTAAAACTAGAGCTTAATAAGTTGTGCAGCACCCCATAGCGCAGCATCTCCTTCAGCCTCATTGCTTCGACAGAATTCGCACTTTTGTATCATTTTCATGTTTTCATTCATCGCTGTTCATTTACTACAATACCCAGAATGCATTACGCAAATAGAGTATTTGTACACTGCAGCATTAAGGTCACCCTTCACTGGAACTAAGGGGCCCAAACCCTGAAAAACAGCCCCAGCCCATTATCCCTCCTCCACCAAACTTTACTGTTGCACTGGTAGGCAGCATTCTCCTCATTTGTCCATCAGTCTTCCAGACAGTTAAGGTTCTTCACTCCGGAGAACGTTTCCACTGCTCCAGAGTCCAGTGGCATTCACCCCTCCAGACGACGCTTGGCATTGCACAGAAGTTGTGCTAGCTTGGTCACATCTATAGGCCAATAAACACAACGCTAGCAGTAGTGTAACTCTTACCTCCGTCGTTGACCCAAAAATTGTAAGGAAAACAGATTTTATCTTTGTTCCGCACAAAACAAAGACCAGAGACAAGTTGTTTATCCTTTCAGCCTGAGAAAAGAAGCCAAACTGAGGTAAGATATTTAGATAACCAGTTAGCTGCCATGCTAAATGACTTTTAGCTTGTCCTCTGTCCCTGGTGAGGCATCTCTGTCCTTTAAGTAATCCATTCTCCAATGTCATCAAGATTTGTAGACAGGCGGTTATACGGACACAATAAGATAGTCAGCTTCTTAGTAGTAACTTTAGCTAAATGGCTCATTTATGCATTTGCAAAACAAAAATAAAAAAAAAAAATAAATGAACAAATAAATAAATAAAATAAAAACGCCCTCAGAAATCCACCCCAAAGCAGTTGTAGTTTTTCAAAAGTTCCTCCCATTTTTAAGACCCATCATCTGAAGAGATTTTCCTCTTTAAACTGGAAAGCATCGCTGATGGATGCGGGTGAGCAGTAAACATTTTAATTTTGTGCTGTTACTGATGCAACTTAACTTTCCCGCCAATAAAACACTGTTGAGGAAGTAAAGGGGGCACTTAAGGCCTATTTTGTGTGTATTTTTAATGTATTTAATTACATCAAATCACCAATTCAGCAAAAGCTGAAGGAAAAGAAAGTCTGAAAATGAATTTTATTTGATAAAATTATATTGTGTTTCTACCCTGCAATGGACTGGCAGCCTGTCCAGGGTGTTTCCTGCTTTCCGCCCAACTACTGCCTTGACAGGCTCAAGCATCCCCCATTCCCCAGGAGGATAAGCAGTTTAAAAGATGAAAGAATGAATAAATATTAGGCTACTTACCTGAGTGTATTTGTAAAAAAGGAAATGGTGTTCAACTATGGTTCTTCACATTTAGCTGCTAACTCTATTTTTTATTTGCCTTTTCTATGCTGTTTTGTTGGTTCAGGTCCTGAACTGCTTTACTGCTGCTCACAACTCTCATCTTGGAACTTTGGCGTTTTAAGTTCCCCAAGATGTTAGATGTACCAGGACATTTCACCGCAGTTCTACAGGTAACTCAGTACTGGTGAAAGTTTCGGGCCTGCTATTTTATTACTGTGAAGTTGGTAGTTCTTACCCATCAATATTTCAGTGAGGTAATATGTTTACTTGAAGATGACTTAGTCTAACCACCTCAGAATTGTGGCATATGTACCGTCCTTTCAACACCACAAGTTGGTCACAGGCAGCACTGACCACTAGCTTCAGCACCACAGACAGGAAACTGGAAAACTGACTTCAGCGCTCATGCTGTTGCCTTTATCTCTCTTTCCGGAGGAGATACTATGTACGAGCTCCCGGCCACTAATGCACTGGAAAAAAATCTCTTGAAGAGAGAAAAGATGCACAAAACAGAAGACTCACTGGAGTCATACTAGAGCCCAGGGGCTTAGACACATATAGGTCAGTTTTAGATGAAAAGCACTTCATGGACTCACTCACATTTAGCAGACTGAAGATTCTCCAGAAGGGGGCGTCAAATAGTTAATGATGCTTGGTAAAGGGCAGTTTATTCATTTATTGTTTTATTTATACTCCATACACATGACCTCCTTTACCTTGATACAAGCCGTATTAAAATTTTGAGAGCTTTCATGATTATATACCTCCGGTGTGTCCAATCTCGTCCACAAAGGGCCGATGTGGCTGCAGATTTCCTTTCCTAACAGAAGTATTTCTGATTCTACACTTGTTTAGGCAGTTGGTCGGAGTCTTCAACCATTTTTCTATAACGTAGCTCCTGCTTTGTTGGGATGAAAACCTGCAGCCAATAAGATTGGACACTCCTGATATATGTACAAAACACCAGTGATACAGTTGTCCCAGAATTACTTAGAATCCCTGTGGTGTCAAGCAATCCTGACTGCAAGAGTGGTCACATCTATAGGCTAATAAATATGCAAAGAAAAGGTCAATGACAAAGTTGTGCCACAATTATATCTGACTCAGAAATTATTATAAAATGATATAAAACTGCCTGGGGAAGTGGTGGCAGCATCAGCAGAATCTTCCATTTTTGCCATTCTATATCTTGTCCTGTTCGTCCAAGCCTGGCAGACTGAGCCGCCTGCACGAAGCTGGAGAGTTACAGCGACGATAGTGGTCAGTACACTTCGGACACCAACATGGATGTGGACCTCATCAAGCTCCACTCCAGGGACATCACCAGAACAGAAAGAGGATGAGCTAACAGGGGATGGCATTCCCAGGGGCTCACTGATGGACTGGGACTTGGGCCAGAGAATGTCAAGCTGCATCCAGTGCTCAATCGTGCAAGAAGCTGGTTCAAAGAGAGTCAGAGGACAAGCAAGTATACTCAACCACCTCAGGCTCCTGGGTGATAGGAGTGAAGGGGCATTGGCCAACTAGTTGAACAAAACTTTCTTTTCCAGCCGTTTTTCTTGATTTTGCCTGATCTGGAAAATATGCGGACCAAGATGCTAGGTCAGCATTGCCACTATTTGCAGCGAGGCCACAGGATACAGATTAGGCAATATCAAGGCGTTTCACTCAACTATTTGGACACTGCCAGTGTTTGAAGCCACAAACCCACTGTGGACATCTTCAGCTAGTGGTGGTACTGGACCTCAAAGTGCTTATTTCGGTACTTAGGGGAAAGATGCTCAATTTTTTGCATTTGGTTCCTGGACACCTGGAGGGGTATTTGCCTGACAGTTTCCTGGTTCTAGACCTGTGCAGGAATGTTGGATTCAAGGGACTGAGGTCTCATCCCAAACCCCCCGGAGTTCCCTTAGCTTGTGTCTGGAGTTTCTTTTAGCCCTTGCAATCATAGGTTTGTGATGTATGAGTTTGAGAGCTAGCTAACCAAGGAGCAGTCTTTTCCAAAGGTGGTAGCCTTAGAACAGGCACCACTTGAGCAGATTCCAGAGAGTCCTTAAGGGTCGCGGCATCCACAGTCCTCCAGAAGAAGAGTTGCCAAAGTAGCCTTGAAGCTAGGCATCTAGATCTCTGTATTGCTGCATTGTGCCCTACAAACAGGGCTATTCATGTAAATCTGAGGAACCTCGCTGCCTAGAGCTTCTCCATTCCAAGCGATCCTTAGGCAGTCATGTGATGTGGACACTGATGCATCACTAGCCAAGTGAAAGGGGCTAATCATCATGAGGTCCGGACACCAGACACCGGTTGGTCCTCCCAGACAACTTGAGCTTATGAACACATTCACCAACCTCCACATGTAAACTGTGTGAACAGATCATTGAATATCTACTGCCCACAGTCGTGTCAGCTTCCTGTTACATTACCGCCTTCACAGTATTCCCAATCCCATGGTAACACCGTACAGATAACTGGACAATACAAGCAATTTTCCCTTTGCTTGAGCTTTGGCAAACATAGCAACGAAGCACCCATACTTAGTTCTCTCGTTTATACTGTGTGGCTTGTTAGCCTCTGAACTTGCTCAGGGGTTGAAATAAAATTGTGAGCTCTTGAAATGCTTTCCCTTGTTTTCAGTGCTGAGGGCAAGCTGACATGATTGAAGTAAGACAACATACTGAAAACAAAACCCTGACAAGAAAAACACAAGCATGTTCAATATTATTTTATTGGGAATTAAGTTTGGACGCAAACTGAAACGTCCACACATGCGTTAATTAAATTAGCACATTAAACAAAACAGAGATGGAAAAAAAAAAAAAAGTAGGACACAAAGTAAGTTTGACACGCGTCCTTCCTAAAGACAGAATGGCTATCTACCTTTTTTTTGACATTTGTTTAAACAATACAAAGGTAGCAAATATCTATTCACCCATATATTCTTAAAAAAAGAAATCCTATAAAGGCCCAGTGTGGTAGTGATGTAAGGTCAAGAAGCTATAGCTCTTCTGTTTCATCTGTTCGAGTGACTGTGCTTGTCATTTGCTTTCTAAACGTTTTCTCCCATAGACGTTCTGCTTGTCTCAGAATGCTTTTGGTCTTGGGCCTTGGAACGCTGGTGATCAGTAGGCCAAATCTTAAGCCATGTATGGTCCTTAATTATAGAACAGAAAAGAAACGCCACTGTTGCGCCTCTGCAGCCTCCCGCTACAGAGACCATACTGCACACAGTTTGCAGAAGACACCTCACCTGATCAGGGTGGAAATGTTGAACAGTGATAATTTGGGGATGAATGTGGATTCTCTTGCTCAAGCTCCTTAAGCTCACCTTCGCTTTCTCTTATCTACACACTTATGCAACAGAATTAAAGCAACGTCAAGGTCCATCTACTCAAACCGTTTAACATAAACTTCAAACCATGGGACTTTTTTTAATATTCCTCAGTAGCGTAATCAAACAGACGAATATCATACTGTAATCCATAAACTACTGGCAGCCTAGGAAGCTGCAGACGGCTGATGTATTTGGAGGTATGTGTGGTGTGGAAATGTGTGCACTTTTTAACTGACCACAAGAACAGAGAAAACTCTGTATCTGTATTTCCTTCAGAATGATTCACTGTTCGGTAACGAGCCGGTGTCCTGTTCTGCCAGATGTGAATCCAAACCTCTGTCTATTGACCTTCAGTCCCAGTACGGCCCGTTCCTTTTCATCACCAATGTTCTGCCAGCAAAATAACTCAAGAGAACTTATTTCTTCGTCTTGGCATCCATGAAATTTCCCAGGGCCTGGAGAGGAAATATGAACAGAATGAAATCAGTACACAGTAGAGCTGACAGCTTGTGAATGAACTTGAGAGCAAGTTTATTGAAGTGGACACCGTGAATAATCATCACTGCAAGAGCTGCTTTTTTCCCCACACAGATTGAGGGCAGTCTTGTACTACATTACACCATCAAGAAGAATTCACCACTGAAATTCTGTCTGTGTACGACCTGCCCGGAGTGACCAGGCTTCCAACACAGATGGGATTAGCTGATGATCTCTGCTGCCCCCTTGTGGCAGTTTGGCATTTTCAATGCCCTTAAAGAAGTCATTATGAACATCCTTATTATTTTTACTCCCCAGTCTACAGATCAGTGAGAATGTCTGAAATAAAGGACCCTTATGAAGCAAACCACCCTACTGCACACAGCTTGGTCCTCCATGGGTTAGTTAGTAAAAAATGGTTCTTTATTGAATCGTTAACACTCAAAGAACCCTTTGTATGATTAATGGGTTCTTTGCATCGTGAAAGCGTTCTTCAGACTGATGGGGAATGTGTGGTGCATGGTTCTATATAAAACCTTTTTGAAAAGGGTTCTATGTAGCACCAAAAAGGGTTCTTCTATTTTTACAAGCTTCACATTGTAACAATATAAAAAACCTTTTAGGTGCTAAATAGAACCCTTTTCAAAACCACATACAACACCTTCTCCATCAATCTGAAGAACCATTTCACAATGCAAATAACTTTTTACGTGTTCTTTAAGTGTTCATGGCTCTATATAGAACCATTTTCTTTCTTAAAGACTCCTTAAAGAATCATCCTTTTTAAGATGATACAGCTTCGTGTATTTTTTTCTTATTCAACCTTTGTTTATTTTAGAAATAATATAAAAATAAAATAAAGATATAGTTCAAGCCCATTAAAGGCCATCAAGAAGAGAACACAGGACCTAGAGTTCAATTTTGTGTCTTATTCCTATGGGTGTGAGGGACCCCCACCCTCAGCCTCCCTCAGTTTGAACCCTGAGCCCATCTCACAAAAAAGCAGGAGCAGATATGCGACATTGGGGCTGGGCAATAAAACAATATTTAATTGTTACCAAAATAAATTAAGTTACAACATGCTTTCTGGGTAAATTTTTAGGTACTGTCAGTACTTCTAGAACAAAAACCGCATCTATCATGAAGACAGATTTAGATTAATCAAAGGGCCTGTAAACAAACAACCAGTGTGTATAAACAGCATTAAAAGTTAATAAGACAGCTATATGCCTGGTATGGATATCTGTCTATTATGACATCATATTTAGTTTATTTAGTGTTTTCTGTTTTCATAAACATTTTTAAAAATGTGGGACTACTCTTAAGTGCTTTTTGTCACTTCCAATTTGCATGTACACCTCAGAGAAACTTCCACCCCACTCCCCCCTTTTTTTTCAAAAAAAAAGTTGAGATGCTGTGCAAAATGTAAATAAAAACAAAATACAACAATGTGCAAATTATTTAAACCTTATGTTTAATTGAAAATGGTACAAAGACCATAGAAATGTTACTGCTTTTTGAAAAATAAATGCCCATTTTGAATTCGATGCCAGCAACATGTTTCAAAAATGTTAGACTCTTACTACGGACTCATACTGTTGTAATACATCCAGAACATGGTTATGGAAAAAGATACGGCGTCCATGATTTCCAAAAAAATTTTCAAACTTTGATTTGTCCGACCACACAACACTTTTCCACTTCGTCTCAGTCCATCTTAAATGAGCTCTGGCCCAGAGAAGGCGGCAGCGTTTCTGGCTCCTGTTTTATATGGTTTCTTCTTTGCATGGTAGAGTTTTAACCTGCATTTGTGGATGCAGTGACGACCTGTGTTTACAAAAGGTTTTCAGAAGTGTTTCTGAGCCCATGCAGTGATTCCCCTACAAAATCATGTCTGTTTTTAATGCAGTGCCGCCTAAGGGCCCAAAGATCACGGCCAGCAAATATTGTTTTTTGGCCTTGTCCCTTGCATACAGAGATTTCTCTGGATTCTCTGAATCTTTTAATGATATTATGTACCGTAGATAATGAAATCCCCAAGTTCTTTGCTATTTTACACTGAAAGTCATTCTTGGATTGTTGAACTATTTGCCAACCTTGAATTCCCTGTTTTTACTTCTGAAAGACTCTTTTTATACCCAGTCATGTTACTGACCTTTTGCCAATTAACTTAATTAGTTGTGAGATGCTCTATCAGGTGTTTTTTTTTTTAGCATTACACAACTTTACCAGTCTTTTGTTGCCCCGTCTCAATTTTTTTGAAACATGTTGTTGGCATCAAATTTAAAAGGGCATATATATTTTTCTAAAAAACAATAAGGCTTCTCAGTTTCACCATCTGATATGTTGTCTTTGTTCTATTTTCAATTAAATACATGGTTTGACATTATTTGCACATCATTGCATTATGTTTTTATTCACATCCTGCACAGCAGCCCAAGTTTTTTGGAAACAGGGTTGTAAACACTGTGATATACATCATACACTAAGAAATGTCTAGACGTACTGTGATGTTATGGTTGTTAATGTCCAACAAATATATCAATTCTAATGTCAGTTACAGATACTTTCAGTAGAGTTTACTGAAAAAGAAACCAACCACAAGGGGGCAGACAGCCCTTGACCACCACCACATCCACTTACCCACCTCTATTCTATGCTGTATGCTCTGCTCTGTGCCTGGTTGCTAAGCAGCAGCTTCCTGCCCTCCTCGTAGTCGTCTTGGTCCACACTGACCAGCAACCTGACCCCTTCCTGGCCTGCCGCTCTCTTCAGTGAGTCCGTGATGAAGACACCCTTCAGCGCCTCTAGGAGCGCCCCGCTCAGGTAGTCGGCCCAGAAGGCGTCTAGATTTGCCAGCTCAGAGAACTTTATGTCACAGACGATGGAGCCGAGGTCCCGGGCACGGAGAAGCATGCTGGCACGGCTAAACAGCTCGAATTGCCGCTCCAGGGGTTGCTGCTTGTCCGAGGAAACTCTCCCCCGCAAGGCCGACTCATGCTCAGAATACTCCGCCCGAACCCGTAGCCGGATGTCTGCGATGAAGATGGAGGAGGAGAAAAGAAGAGGAGGGAGGGAGGGAAGAAGGATGGATAAGGACAGATGGAAGGGAAGGACAGGTTGCAAAAGATGGATGGATGGAGGGTGATGCAAAGCAATGGGTGATGAGCAGAGATGAATAAAGGAAAGCACATAGGGAAAGACAGTTCGAGTAAGAGGGAAATGTAATTGATGAAGCAGTGAGATTAATTGAAAACAGAGGTGTTGAATGGAGGGGAATGAGAACCAAGGAGTGATCAAAGCAAGGTGAAGTTGAAAAAAAAAGGGATAAAAGGTGGAGAAATAAGAAAGAAGCCTTCGTCATTTAGCGCACCAACTTAGCATTCCAACAAACAGTTCTATGATTTGGTTCTTTTTCTTAAAAGAGGTCTAAGATGTTCATTCGGAATAACAAGTTTCACAGAGCGCAAAAGAAAGAGAATACAAATGGCCTTGTCGGGTTCACATTTGTCAGGGTAGTTCTGGCTATAAGTGACAAGGGCATCAAGCATTCCAAGCTCCACAGCAACAGACTTCACAGTGAGGGCCCAGAACGAAACTAAAGCTCTTAGTGGAACATTCAACTGGTCCAAATGAGGGTACAACTGAATGTTCGTCAACACTGTTTCAGAGAAGTCTAAGCAGGAAAATATTGATTTCAGTTCTATGAGCACAGTTGAAAGTGGGTAAAAGCTTTTGACCAAATTTGGGGGATTTTAACAATGGATCTTGCAGAAGACCCACTGCAGTCACACTCGTCATAATTTGTTTTAAGAGATGGACGGGTGTACTCAATAAAGCAACAGGGTGGATCTGAAGTACCTTTCATTTCCATTTCCCGTCCTTTCAGTGAATACAGGTCACTTGAATCATTGTAGGCCATCTTAATGCGGTCCTATCTTAAAGCCTACTCAACTGAAGCCTACTGGAGGTTCACTTAGGCTATTTCAGCTTTGAGGAAGCAATGAAATGTGACTCAACGTAGGGCATGGAAGTCGAACACATGAACAGTATTTTATGTTCAGACATGATAGCCTAAGACCCATTTTCCAAAAAATATATTTCAGATATTCCAAGTTGGGCCAGCAATTGGTTTGACATTGAATTGAATGCTTCATGTTTCAGTGACCAGTAGTCAAAACTAAGGCACAGTTTTAAAGGTTGGCTCTACCACATGGTGGTTTTGAGAACAGGAGGAGGAACTGATGTCATGCAACAGCACAGGGCACAGAGACGGCAAGATACGAGTGGAGGATACATACTGAACCAGAGCTTCGCTGTGATGTCTTTTCCTTTCATGTCATTTCATGAGGTCAGAGGATGAAGCGGACCCATCGATCTTCCGAACATTGCTGCAACACAAATCCAACTGTCCCACACCAAATCCCTACCCCAACCCAAAGCTGCTTTGCTTGGCTGACAGAGGAACATTATTTTTGGGGAAAAAAAGGCATTTTATGAGGACCAGAGTGATCTTTTGATTGGCATGTGGGTACAAATTTGTCCACTGTCAAGAACACTTGAGAAACTATACAAGGGTACAACTTCAGTTTCATCCAAGTCTTCAAATTCAAAAGAATGTAAACTCAAATGCAAATCAAAATGAAAAATATCTTTGACTAAGAAATCCAAAAGGCTACTTTCATGAAAAATCAGATAACCACTTATTTAGCTAAAAGCAGAAAGTGATACAGTGTACATTAAAAATGACATTATTAGTACAATGCCATTACTACAGGCTGTATGCGATTATTACAAGTCAGACTGTACCTGCTTAATAGTTCTTTCTTGTAAAATGAATGTATACAACACCTTCTTCTTTGACATAAAACGAGGCTGAAAATTCTGCAGGACATAAATCAAGCAACTGAGATAAAAGTAGAATTAAAACCAGTTTGGAATTCCAACATTTTCAAAGGAAACAAGCGTACAGCTTTCTTATTAACAGTGCAACAGATAAATATGAGTCACTCTACTTACCTAGAGCCTGGCAGTTTATGATATGAAATTTCCACAGTCATGCAATTCAATTTTTTTTATATTTAATTTAAACAAATCATACAAAATTTAGAAATTAATTTTTAAAATTTGCCTCAGCAGGTTACAAATCACTAACAGTGCTTACAGAATGAGTAAAATGAGCAGAAATTTTTATAAATATAACACTAGACAGGGTACTGACAATACAGCAACCAACAAGAACTGGAAGAATTTATCACTTTTCAAAAAAGGACACAAATTACAAACATTTATTAGGATAAGGCCCCTAAAAAATGCCTTTTAAAAATCCATTCTGAACTCAGTGTAGCTTTAGATATTGCATGCAATATCATCATTTATAGAATCATTCATAGATATGCCAGACATATAAGGTTTTTCAAAACCCATATTGAATCATTTTAGCAAAAAAAAGTAATCTTCGGTTAATTAACCTGCTGTGGGAAGTTAACAGTTCATTTAAAACAAAAATGTTCTGTTCACTGTCCAGTTCAAATTTCAGCCTTTCCATCCACATAAATCACCCTTGAACACTGAGTTTACAACCTGCTGAGGCAAACTTTTGCAAAGTTGCATTTCATAACGAGGCATTTTTGATACGTTTTTTTTCCCCCATGGAAATCCATGACCTGCCTGGTTCTAGGTGAATCTGTGCAAAGTAACCCTTGTGCTTATTCAGCTATAAACATTAGTTTTGATATTTCATTTACTATCAAGCTTTCCAGACCATTTTAATTTGAACCAAATAATTTTTTAAAAGATATATTTCCCAGACATGCTACAATCCAATGAACAAAAAAAAAAAAACTGAAAACACAAAAAGAGTATTTCTTTTCTTTTTTTTCTTTTGGGTTCTCCCAAAGAGATCAATTAAAAGGGTACATTAACAAAGCTCTTTCCATTGTGTTCCATTTTTAAAGCACCTCAGTTATTATCATGCAGGCAGAACATGATGTTTTTTTTCTCCATTGATAATCATTGAGTTTCTATTTCTGGACCTTGAGTGGACAAAATACAAGAACAAACAGAGGCTTTTGTCTCATCATGGGTTACGTATCCACTCTTTACAAACAACGAGGAATACAGAGCATTACAGCAAAATTACAGCAACCCACGCCGGAGAAGTTATTTAGGTATGTTCCATATTGTTGTTATTTACAAAAATGACAAATAAAATGAAAAACAAAAACAACTTTTCTTTTTCCAATAAAGCAGAACCTTTAAGCATCGTTTTATGCGGAGGCGCTCCTTGCGAAGAGCTTCGACACTATTTCCATCCCTCTTTTCTGATGAGCAACAAACCAAGATGGAAGGAGAGAGAACGAAAGCAGAAGGCCGACCAACCGCTCTCTAAGGCCGGTATGGGCCGTTTTATCTCGTTCGTTAAAGTTCACTCTCTCCCTCTCTTAGTATGTGAGGATGGCCAACTTGTTTTGTCCCTGACACTTGAGTCAGTCTGTTTTTCAACTGTGGACAAAGAGGAGAGAAAGAGAGAGAGAGAAAGAGACAAAGCAAGTTTGGGATGAACGTTTTCCAAAGGCTCTTCCTTTGTTGGCGTCAAGCACATAGCAGGCAATTTCATAAACATTGACTGTATATGTATGTGTGGCTGTTGATTTTCAATAAAAGCTCAAAAAAGGTCTTTCTATGGTGTCTCTACATAGAACAGTACTATGCAAAAGTCAGAGGCCACTTTTCATTGATTTCATTTGCAGTCAATACAGCCATTAAGTACAATTTATTCAGTTTTCAGCATATTTAACAGAATATCACACAGAAATATCAACAACACAACATTTTCAGTATTTAGTGTGTCCACACTTTGCCTTTATTGCTGCTTCTATTTTCTTTTTGGGGCACTTGCTGTCAGTTTTTCAAAGAAATCTGCAGGGATATTTTCATTTTTCAAAGTTCAGTCTTACAAGTTGGTTATATTTTTTGCTTCTCATGATTCAAACGATCCTGAACACATTTAATGATGTTGAGGTCTGGACTCCCAACATAGCACTGAATTGTCTTTTCACAGTGGAAGGATGGGCAGAAACACCTGTGGATTTGCACCTGTTTGTGAATCAAGTGTGGCGATTCAAAGATGAAAGCTTTAGATGCCGTTTATCTGACGGGGACAGTTTTGGTGTCTACCGGGTCTTTCACTGTGGTTAGAAGTCCTGTTTCCTCTAAAACAAGGTTGGCAACACGCGGCTCATTCACTGCCCTGTTGCGGCTCCACAGCAGAATTAGATTTGTAGGTAAAAATAAAATAATCCTCCTTTGCAGTAAAATAAAGCTCTGCTGATTGTTCAACATAGTTTTACCACTAAATGGTCGTAAAGGCTGGAGTTAACGTAGAACTGCTGATTCACCCTTTAACCCTGAAGGTTGGCGCACAGACTGCTGGTCATCGTAGCAATGCAGACATTCCCGTAGACTTAGTAGCTAACGAAATGGCAAAGAGAAAGATTTAAGATGAACATCGATAATTTGGAGACGAATGAACTTATCTGCTTTTATAATCACTCGTTTCCTGAAATGTGTAATCTGCAACGAGAAACTTAAACAATAAAAAGTTGTGAAGCTTAAGTCAGCTAGTAGAGTAATTTACGAGGCTGAAGTCGCTTCTCATTCGCCAGCTTCTTGTTTGAATTTTTGAGAATTTGAGAATTCAAACAAGAAGCTGGCGAATGAGAAGTGACTTCAGCCTCGTAAATTACTCTACTTTTACAGAAAAGTTTTCTGCCAGAGATGCGAGAAAAGCAGCTATAGCTGAGCTAAAGCTCGAGGCAGAACAAAGTAAGTCCGCATTTTTTGTTTATATTTTTATCCTATACTAGTACATCGACACACACTGAGACATATTTACAAGGATGGTAAAAGGGACATAAAATGTTTTGGCTCTCAAGGTGGTTTGATTTTTGTAGAAAGGACAAAATGGCTCTTCTTAACATTCCTAACATTTATAAACATATTTTTCTCTTTCTTAGGCAAAAAGGAACATCTTATATCTAATCCTCTCATAAATATCTCCTGAAAATGAATAAATTGTACTGAATGGCTGTTTTCATCGGAAAGTAAACGAAAGGTGGTCTCTGACATTTTCACAGTCAGGCAGATTAGACTAGGTCTACTACCTAAAAAAGCATGGGGGCTACATGGGCTGTCACAGCATCTCTTAAATCAATTTCATCATCAACATCATGGTATTTGTAGGCAAAAAACACAGTTCTTGGTTTCACTGTTGGGTCATTTTCCTCAGAACTGCTCACACAAAGAAACTGGACACTGCCAGAGGCCATTTTTAGTATGGTGTGTCTAAATTCCAAAGGTTGGGATACCTCTTCAGGCAGATTTGGCAATGTTTTGGTTGACATGGTTTAAAAAGTTTGAGTTTTCAAGCTCAAATGGACAAAAATACAAGGAACGCATTCAGGAGGTCTTTGAGAGCTTCTCTCTGAATAAGATGAATTCTTTTAGAGCACTTTCCCCTCCCCATCAGGTCAGCATTACAGTGGACACACGAGGTACATAACCAAACAAACTATCTGAGGAGTTTTCCCATGTTTTTTTGAGTCAGTTCTGTGAAACTCTGAGGCCAACAACTTCTCCAGAATCCTGTATCATGTAGTGGTTTCTCCAAGGCTACTAACAATACAAATCACAGCAAAGGTCTTTTGCTTTTTTTTCAGGGAGGAAGGTTTGAGTAACTGGACGGTTTAAAACTGAACACTGGAACGTTAACAATAAGCACTTTCACCCCTCCTCCTAGCTGACTGAGGAAGGTAAACTCTTTACCTTAGACATGGACCAGGCATCATGAAGGAGAGAGCGAGTGAGAAAGCACACACTTGGCTCGACAGTGTGTTTGATCGCACAGAGAGGACAGCGCACGCTCTAGTGATGCGTGCGCTCTCTCTTTTCTCTCTCTATCCATTCTCCTGCTTTTTCTACCCATTCCTGAGTCAACCTGCTGGAATCAAATGCGGAGTCAACACAGCAAACAGCATTTTCAGCACGTTCAGGAGCAAAAAGGTCAAAGCTCAAAGGGCATTCTCGACTGCAGTGTAAAATGAAGAGACTGTTTTGAGTATATTAGTTTGTAACCAAGCTCCTGGGTTATCAGTCATTGTGTAAAGCACAAAGCAATACTGAATTTCCATTTCTGAATAAGCAGCGTTCATTTGTATTATTCCTTGTACTGCTTTCTCTGAAAGTCTTGGAACAGCGCAGCCACATTGTCATTTCTGTGAGTTTGGGTTATATATGCAATGACGGATATGAAGCAACAGCACAGAAAGTCACCATTTTATCACAGGGTATTTTCGATAATGTACGTTTTATTGTTTTGGAATAACAGAACAGTTAGCATTTCCATCCCCGTCCTGTTTTAGGAAAGAAAAGCACTGACAAATTAGCTTTGCAATGCATGAGCCTGAGAAACGTCTATGAAACAAAAGCAATCAATTATTGGAGCGCAAAGTTTGAGAAACTTTGATAGCAGAACTTCAAAGTGGACACTGAAAACAAAGCTTTCATGCTTTTAAAGCAAAAAGGTATAACATGCTAAAGGGAGTAGTGGGCAATATGGCAAAGCTATACATTTCATAACACACTGTAAGCAATCTGACATTTAACAGCCAAAAAAAAAAAAGAGTAAGTAATGCCACATTAAAAAAAAAAATACTTTCAAAAACTTTGTGCAAATTATTTTTATTCAGTATCTCACATACTGCGCTGCATTAAATACAATTAAACAGGACGAATGATGCTCTCTTTGTAATAAGACTTCAGGGTTCAAGTGCTTAGAATATCCACAATGACGTGTGATATACTGTGATGTACTTCATCACAATAACACGAAATACTGTCATATTGCCCAGCATGAGCATGTGGTGTAATAATTAGGGATGTGTTAGTCATCTGAGGGGCAAGAAATCAAACATTGAAATCACTGTTTGGGTTTCGATTAGCGTTTCATCTGAGATGGGAGGAAATTCATCGCAAAGTCAGTTCAATCAAAGAAAATAATGACTTCATGTGTTAACAAGTAAATTTACAAGTTTTATTCAATCTAAATAAATACTTTGAATGAGTTAATAAAACTAGTTTGACTGCTTGTTACCACATGAAGTCATTTTTGTAAGCTGGCAGGTCAACAATTAGGTGAAATGGCCACTTTAATTTGTAACAGAACTTTGAAATGCTTGGATTTGCAACTAAGAAGTTTTTGCTACAATAAAAAAGGAGGGCCTTAATATCAGTGCTTTGCCAATGACATGTTTTCAAGGACCTGATAGAGAAATCAAAGGTATCAAGGTCCAGAAAACATGAAAATATATTTTTCTGACAAAGTAAAATGTCGGCACTTCGTCCACCGAAGTGAAAAGCTCCAACGTTGTACTGGTTACCTGCAGCGTAACTAGCTGGTTCATCTCAAGTGCACTGTTTCCTTGTAGGGTTGGCAGTGCTGTCACCTAAAAAGGCAAAGCTTACAGCCGCATATTAATTTCAGCCAAAGACTGTTTTGATTTATTGGTGTGTTTCTTTTCCTTTTCAGCGATTAAAAGAATATCTGTTCATTAACTTTTACTGATACTCAAATATCCAAATTAGTCACATCCCTAGTAAAAAAAAAACAAAAAACAATGCATTGATCTAAAGAGGCGATTCAACTGCACCTATTTTGTAATGTTAGAATCTTAAACATTAAACTACTTTTGTGTATTCAGTGCATATTTAAAAATAATTCTCTATCATACAGAATAATCGAATTGTGGATGCACTAAATCCACTAAATCGGGATGTTCCTAAAGAACTGCAATTGAACTGAATGAGTAAAGCAGTAAAAGACTCCTCACAATATACCACCATTCCAAAACAATTACCATATACAAAAATACCCGGTGTAAAATGGTACAGAATAAGTGCTTCATTTGCATTGTTTCTTTCATAACCCACAATGTGGCAAACAACTGTTTTAATACTTACAGAAAAGGGTTTCTACCTTTATAAGGAGCTGAAAAATCCATATTAAGCACTGCTCCCGTTTGGTGGATCCTTTAAGTTTGGAGGGAATGGACTGATCAGTATTGAGGGGCAGTGAGGATATGATGGGGGACAGGACGAGATGGGGCATCTCATCTGTATTGCTGCAGAAGACAAACACTGACAGCAGGCCAGTGGGCTTCAGTAGGTTTAGTTACAGAGGAGCGGAGCTGGGCTCTACAATGGAGATGGACCTATGAGGTACAAGCATGAAGGCTGGTGCAACTCAGTCTCAATGGCCATCATTGACATCACTTTCATTTTCAACCAATGCATTTCATTCAGTATCTCAGCATTGATATTATACATTATAAAGAGAGAGAGAGAGACAGAGAGAGAGAGAGAGAGAGAGAATGAAGCAGCAGAAAAGAAGATGATGTGACTGTGCAAAATGAAGGTGTTACCTTTCGTGAATTATACTAGTGATGGGCATTTTGAGTAATTTTGTGGCCGAGTTACTCAGTTAAAATTAAAACCAACAGTCCGATGCAAACCTGTCTGACTCTTTTAGCAACGCTGCCATGCCAAGTTTCATCTATAACTCAGGTGAGATTCAGGTGTGACTGTATTAGGAGTTTTTCCTTATTTCATCTCAAACAACATTAAACCAATTTTGCAATTTTGCTTGTCAAACAGAGAGTTTCCTATCAGCTACTCAGTCGATTACTCATGCCCATCGCTACATTATACTAGACAAATGGAAAGGAGGCGGGTATCGACAATGAGAAACACAAACACACACAGAGGAGTGCAGAGTTGAAAGAAAAAACAAACAAATACACTGATTACACTAATCTACTTATTACATATTAAAATGGGACAGTTTGCAATATCTTCAGATAGTAAACCAGTTAAAGGTCCACTAAGCAACACATTTAAACTTCATATATAGACCTCATAGAGTGCTGACTGAACCCGGTTCACAATGAACCACTGAGTGCGTTTACATGCACTTAATCTGATTACTGCAGAAAATCAGATTTTGTCTGTAATACGATCAACACGTTTATATGCACTTGAGTAATCAGATAATGAAACTGTCTGTCGCAGTCTGTTTTCGCACGTGTGTAGACTGAGAAATCCGAAAGAAATCAGAGTAAGAGTCACATGCACTGAGAAATCTGACTACTGAGCTAAAATCCAGCCTCTTTATCGGATTTCTTAATCAGATTTCTAGACTTTACTCTAAGTCTAAGAAATCAGAGTGTGCTGTTTACATGACCATTTGAATAATCAGATAACTGTAGATATCTGAGTAAGATCGGATTATTGAGTGCATGTAAACACACTCGCTGATCTACATGGCTTTATTTATTCAACTATGCACAGCAGTTACCTAATCTGGCTGTTTCATATTTGCCTGCTCCTTGTAGCAAGACTTAACAAGTTCCACTGTGCATCGTTTCAGTTTCAAAATGTCAAGCCTGTATTGTTTTTTCATATTTCACAGGCCACCCAACCACATCATGTAACATCCTCCATAACATTAAAGAACAAATTTTCCTGATCACCTCATCAATCAACGGTAGGCTTGTTTCAGAGCCAAAACAATGTATATTAACGTCACCACTCTCAATGTACATAACTGTAATTTACTGTCTTTTTCATGTCTCATATGGTTGTAAAATGCCGATACTAAGTCTCTACTGTGCTTCATAGGTTGGAGTAAATGCATTTTACCTGGTTCTTCAAGGTTTCTTTAGTAAAAAAAGAGGTTCTATATAGACCCAGGAACACTCTTTGCATCAAGAAAGTGTTCTTCAGATTGACAGAGAATGTATTGTAGATGGTTCTATACAGAAGCCTTTTTGAAAAGGGTACCAAAAGAGTTCCACTATTGTTATAAACCTTTTTTGGTACCATATAGAACACATTTGGCTAAGAGTGCAGGGCTGAAGGATTTGGGGAACATATCTGATGGCGATTTTTCTGTGATAGCTTTCACTGACTTAAGTTTCAGGCCTGTTTTTTGGGCAAGAACACCAGCACCTCCACTTTTTCTGAACGCAGAACATCGTGCGGCAGACTGACACTCATAATCGGTTGTGATTGTGTTTTCATGTACACAGCGCATGGGAGTTTGGTCGCATTTGATTTGAATAACCCATCTAATGCATTTACATTCTACAGTAACTGCGTTTTAGGAAATGCACTAAATCACCAGTGTCATTCGTTTCTTGTTACAATGGTACATTCTACCTATTTTCAGACAGTAGCTATTTTTAACCAATATCCATAAGTTCATTCAACTTAGTGGACCTTTATCATCATACAGCTCATGTTACCTTTTAGCTCCCACAGTTGCTCTAATAAATGATGTAGTTTGTTTACCTGGAGCGGCACAGCAGCCTTTATAAACTTAGCAGCACTTTGTAATGCTGGCGAGGCATCCTCTCTTACTCATTCCATTACCCATTAATCACCTTTTCAGGCTGTTTGAACAGAAAAAATGAACCATGAGAAAGTCTGACATGTTCAAAGCTGAACTTGAGCATGCAAAAGCATTGATAGCTTGTTACGTCTTTATTAAAAAGAGAATGTGTATAATATACTGCGAGGTGAAGATACTCAACACTGAGAGTTGTTCTCTGAAGCAAACCAGTCACTAACCGTACCTTTATGTTTGATTAATGATTTTAGGCATGTTTAATGTGGCTGCCCACTCAAAATCATTGTTTTACAAGTTCTATTACTTAAATCTGGACCAGTAATACTTACACCTAATTAATCTTGAGGAGTTAGGGATAGTCACCGAAACTGGATGACTAAAAACTAACCGTAAAAAAATAAATAAATAAATAAAAAAATAATAATAATAATAATAATAATAATCAGTGGATGCTAACATTCTCACTCCCGTGTAAACATTCATTCGCCAAATGCTCTCACCAAATTAACAAGGGCAGCTATGCTACTGTATACTACTGTAACTCCACTGTAATTGGCATTTGCTGACAATACTGTCACAGTTATGTTCTGCATAAATCTCATTTTTACTAACATTAATGGCCACACAAAAATTACACCTAAATTATCAGGTTTTAATCTTATTTTTATCATAATGATGTTCCATTTTGTGATTCTCGAGCTGCATGTTCCAAAATTACTCTGAATTAAGGAGTCATACAGCAGATTAACCACACAAAATGGCCACCACCATCTGACTGTGATCCACCTCTTGGAAACGCAGGAATTCAGAACGTGAGAGGTTTGGAAACGATGGTTATTTTTCACTGATCTTAGATGAAAACCTAATTAGAATAACGAATATAATCTTCAATAGTCTGATTAATGCGTTTGGGTCTACAGATTTAGAAGCTAAGGTGCAAATCTTGTGCCAAAGAAATATCGCAGAGCTCCAATGAAAGCCTGACAGACAGGTTATTGATCGCTCTTTGTAAAAGGGGGTGGAGAGATTTCAGGAGACTTCAGCAGAATTTCTGCTGACGACTGACTGCTCTTATTCACCCAGGTGAAAGAGTCTATTTGTAGTGACAGCTTGCACCGAGGGAAGGTTCAAAAGTGAGCAGGAGTTAAAGGCAGTACATGGATGTGGACACTATCGTAGTGAAGAGGATATTTTGGTGGCCAAGCACTAAGAGGAACACCCACTCCCTGATTCGACATGTAATTAAAACGGTCAATTTCTTGATTAAAGCAAAAAAAAAAAAATTAATAATAATAATAATAATAATAAAAAAAATCTTCCTTCTCAACAAATCTGCTATGATTAGTTGGCAGGCTAATTAGTTGACACACTCATTCTTATGCATTTTTGCCATATAGTGTTTTATAAATACATGTATTTCCTTTAATTAAGTCTTTTGAAGGCTTTTTTTCCCAGTACTGTATTATGGAGTCTTTCAAAAGATCTGGATTAGAGGTCTGCCGTCCCGCGGGATCCACCACACTATCTTGCAGTGCAGGGCTATTTTTAAGCAGCATGTACAGGAGCAGACAGTTAACCAGCTCAGCGCGGACGGGAGAGGGACACTACATACATGTAGAGAAATCCCGCAAATGAATGCATAATTTAAATCACTTAATTAATGGCACATATAAATAATTTCTAACAGCAAAATTACAAAAAAGAATAAACTGAATAGCTGTGAAAGAACCAATCACATAAGCAAAAAGCCAACTGCATTTTTCTAGGCTACAGAGACGGTCAGACGGCCATAGCTGTGGTAAGTGCTCTCTTAACAGAGGTGAACACACAGCAATAAAACCTAAGCAAACTAAAAGCGAGTCTGACATGAGACGGTCATTTTCAGTTGCGAGTGACGCAGATGGAAACCAGCTATACAGGACTGCGGGTGGGAGCGGGTCAAAACCATTACCCTGCATTCACACCGGCAGTGACTTTTGCCTCTTGTCAGCCAAATCGCTGATCGCTCATTGCCGGTGGGCGTTTCTGTCCAACTGACCGTGGTTCGCCATGGTTTCGCTGACGCTAAGCACAAATCAGACGTGTTCCCGCTAAAACTAAAAATCCTGGAGTGAAATCGCTTGTGTGCTTATTTTTATTTAATTCCCGTGTCTGAGGAAAACAGTATTTGGTCTTTGCGATTGTTGTCTATTTGCAGCCAAAGCACCACCGCCATTATTCCATCTTTAGTAGAAACAAGTATCTAGGAATCAAAAATGGAGCGCACCGTTTTACAGCGGCGGAGATAAAGCAAGTACTACGCTGCTCAATGCTCAAGTCCTATTGGTAATCGCCACATCGCTTCGCTCCTTATTTGCATAAAGTTAAACTCCGCTCCACTTTGTCGCATCGCCAGTGTTCGCACTGCCTCTTGTCACTGAAAATCACCAGCTCTCATTGAAAATAAATGACCTCCGGCTGCCTTGTCACGTCGCGTCTCAGCCTTTGTGAGCGCAGGGTTAGGCTGCAGGCGGGAGCGGGACGAACTGTGCCGATTTTCTGAGGGAGTATGCGGGAGTGGCATGAAATACTGAGGGAGTGGGAGGACCCCCCGTGCAGACCTCTACTATAGACGGTTTATGTCCTGTACATTTTTATTGACTAGTCTTTTTTTAAAAAACAGATTATTTGATTCATCATTGTCATAATTAGTAGATCATTTGACTACTAGCATAACTGAATCTGCCAGTCTTACATGTAATCAGAATTCCACATGATGAAGCCATTGAGAAACATCTGCACTGTGTTGCTTTGATGACTGTATGAACTGCACATGCTTTTGAGCCTAAAGCACACCTTTCCATTGGCCCTTGATGGAAGAACCACTTTCATTTTGCTACTAGGTAAAGTGGTGAGAGAGCAATGGCTCACACAAACAGTAACATCAGAGTGCGTTCTACAGGGTGAGATGGGAGCGGCATGAGCATGACACGTTCATCTGGGGAAGGACTGTGTTTAGCATTCGTCTACACATCTGCTGAGGCATTAGTAGGACAGGGATGGGTCAGGATGAACGGCTGATTGAATCTGAACTGTGGTGAAACAGAGCAGAGATGAGCAGAGAGAAAGAGAGGAAGCACGGGTGAGGGCAGAGACAGAGAGATAGACAATAGAAAGGTGTAGAGAGAGAGAGATAAAAGGAGAAATTAAGGTAAAGGTGGTCTTACCACAGGTCACTTTGTTTGGTGCAGGCTGCGGGACGACATCGGGCGTGGTCCTGGACCGTCTGGCTCGGCCACGCCCTCTGGCCCGCTTCCTTCTGCAGGGAGCGTTTGCTGGAACAGCTGAGCCAACACCTGATCATCAGAAACACAGTAACACCTCACACTGTGAGCATTTCACATAAGAGAGTCTGGCTCTTCAGGGGTCTTTAGGTAACAGTTCAGCACAGGATCAAATCTGAAATGTCACCACGATTGAGGTTTGCAGAATTCTGACAAGCCCCGCCTCCCTTATTTGCAGTCGCTACAGATCTCTGAAGTCGTGACGTCATTTCTATAGCTCATATTTGTCGGTCGTGTCCTGCAGTGAGCAAAAGTGTTCCAAAGGTGATGAGTTTTGCTGTATGGACATTTTATCCTGAACAATGAGGTCATTAAGGAGCTGAAATATGACTGCTGCTATATGCAAGCTAACACTGCTGCACTCTGACATCATAAGTCAACCTCACCAAAATACCCACACAAACCAGCAAGCTTGGTCAAATGCTGTAGTTTAGAGGCTTTGGCAGTTTTAGGCTACAGTTTCAGGCCCAATCTCATTTCACTCCTCACCCCTACCACTTACCCTTAGCCCTCCGGTTTGCACGTTCACGTCTAGGGGTAGGGTGTCCCGATTTTTGTTGAGATAGAGGGGTAGGGCGAAGTGTTAGGGCTACATGGCCCCCAAAATAGAGGTTTTTCAACTCTAAACGGAGTGTTATGAGAAAAAAAGAAAAACCGGAAAGATGGCTGAACAAGAGACCAAAGAGACCCACAAATGTGAGAATTTTCTCTGTTAAAAATTACAGTAACCACTGTTTTATTTTAGTTTAATGTTGTTTCAGTGCATTATGGTCCTTTTCTTTATAACAAGATTAAAAATCGCTAGTAGTATCCTAACGTCTCAGTAGCAAACTGGCTAAATTAGCCATTCCACCTTAAATAGTCCAGCGGTTCCGCTACCTGAAGCGCCAGAATGTAACTGCTGCATCATTTAAGGTGGAACGGGAAATTTCAGTCAAGAAGCTGGTGAATATCTGACTTCAGCTTCATATCACTGAAGAATTAGGGGTGGGTGATAATAAATAACTGCCCCCCTCTTTGAAGGCATATGATGCCCTAAATGTAAATAAAGCCCAGCAGTGAGGAGCTGAACTTTACCCTCCTCTGCTATCACTGCAGACTGGCAGGGTCGCCTACAGAGCAGCGTTAGTAGCTGTTAATGAAGTAATGTTGTTTATTTGAGGGTCCCATTTCATAGAGGAAGATTTCAACCACTACACCTCGTAATTCAGTTCCAAAGTGCAAGGAGACACAAAAACAAGGGGTAGGAGTAAAAATAAGAAATGGGATTGGGCCATAGTCTTGAATGTTGATATATAATATTGTCAAAGTTTAATAGTACACTTACTTTCATGTGATGCCATTTCACTGCACAAGAGTATGAGCTTGCTTAAAGCATATAGCATTACTCATATTCTGAAAGCTAAATGACCCCATAATCCAGAAATGTCATTTATTTTTGTCATAGAGGAAGCAGCTTAGAACCAGAGTTCCAGACATAGGCTTGTCGCCGACTACAGAATGATGCACGACTTCAGAGGTCTATGTCCACCAAACTTTCAGCTTGGGCCACCTGGTAGAGTCCTAAAAACTTTAACTGCACAAAGAAAAATTCAAAAGCATGGTTGAGTACACATTTGAATTTTTTAAATTCTAAAATAAACTGGGTTTAGAAGATGTTAAGAGCAGAAATACATGTGTGGGAACAGACAAAATATGAATGTATGCTAATCCGAAACACATAAGGATTCTGAAAACCATGTTTATATTAATCAAATCTGGGAAGTCTTTCAGTCAGAGACAGACTTTCATAGCCAAAAAGGAGGTCTGAGCTTAGAAAGCTGCCCCTTCTGATGGATGAATGCTAAAGCTAACACTAGAGCTATGAGAGATTAGAATGAGAGTTAGCAAATACAGTGACCCAAATAACATTTAGCTCTCCTCAGAGCCTGCTAATGTGTCAGAGCTACAAGTTGGGTCTTCCACAGAGTTTAATCCAAAACCTTTTCAGCTTTGGGAGTGAAATAAACATAGCTCCACCCACCAGATGATCAGGATGGCGCGTGTCTTAACAACTAACAAATAACACCTTTTCACATCTCTTAGCCTATTAATTCTGACTACATTACTGTCATCACCTTTCTCTCTGCAGGTCTGTTCTGAGGAGTTTTATCAGAGTTTTTCCTTTGTTTGATGCAGGAGGTATTACTTATAAGCTGTTGTGATTGACATGGCACTCAGTCAATCATTATTTTGCAACCTGACAACTCAATTTGGTGCTTTTGGCATGATTCAGATTCATAAAATACATAATTAATACAAAAATGGAGGAACTATTTAAAGATATAGCAGAATAAAGGTAAAAAACAGAACAACCACCTTTTTGAGCTGGAGCTTTAAGACTTTTTTTGTCTCTAAAAGTGAGTGCATAGTTTATTTATTTTTATTATAATTAATTCTAACACCCCAAAACTGATGCAGTTAAATTGCCACCTTCAGACGTAATTTTACACTTTTATTTCACAAAAACACTTTAAGCCCATTCTGAACAAAAACACCTTTAAACTGAGCCTAATGTCCATCTCAACTTACCTGTCCTCCATTGAGATGCCTGTGTGTTTTCCAGAGACACCAGGTCTGTGTGTGAACTTGTATGTGAGGGTCCTGCACTTCTTGCATAGTTCTCCGGTTCTCGGTCGGGTGACACTAAAACAAAGATCAAAACATCAGTGATCAGAATAGGCCACAGTTAGCAGCACCTGACAAACTGTGCACTGTAACATTAACTAGACAATATACGGTTTGCTGCAATATGCAAATAAGGCCTCTAACCAACCACAGTGTTTTTACTGTGTGCTGTGAGGATCCTGACCAATCACAGCTTCAGATGAGTGCTGCTTTGGGTGTTCTGATGAATATTCATGCAATCCAACAAAAGTGACCTATTTTGGTCAGACTGATCTTTAAACATGCTACATTAATTGTGTCGGCAATGCATTTTCCACAACAGGCAGCTATATGGTCATATTAATATGACTTTGATGTATGAGGGGAAAAACTATGAGGCCAAAATCTCATATAATGTTTTCTACACCATTAACGTCTGGAAGCAAGATCCTATTCCACACCTGTTCTTCTCTTCTTGCTGGAGACGAACGGCAAGAGGTCGTGCCGCGTAAGAATTCGAAGAAGCTGCAGAAGAGGTTCCATGTTTCCTTCGTGTAAAAAGCCACGTCTCTCCAGCTCCAGCAACAGCTCCACACCGCTTTTCGGCCTGTGGCGATCGGAGGCGAGGAACGGCTCTCCTCGAGGGCGTATCCTGCGCCAGGCCTCCAGGAGACGCGGGCAAGGAGAGTTTACAGGCAAATCAGAGTCCGGAGGGACGTCCTCAGTCCATCCCTCTGGATCAAGAGGGTGTCTGGCAGGATAGGCTTCATCAAGAAGGAAAGACAGCACTTCGACATCAGCCTCCGTCAACTGGGAACCCACGATTTCGAAGACCTCGTGAAGAGACAGCATGTCATAGTAGCTCAGGCAGTCAGTCTCCTCCCAGTGCAGGGAATACCTCGGGCAGCGCACCGTTGCCATGATCAGCTGGCGACCAAAACAATCTTCTTCAGAAGGACAAACGTTTCTGCAACAGAGACAATACGATTTTGTTTGGTTAGACATTAGACATAAAAGGATAAGCTGTTGGATGTGGAGGAGCTGTAGGTGACTAACTTAAAGGAGGATTCCACCGATTTTTCAATAAATTCTACAGAATTTGACTGTTGAGATGTAAACAAAGCCATTCAGAGTCGTCTGAAATGAAATGCTTTGCTCTAGAGAAAGTTGCTGAGTCAGAGTTGTTCACATAGGTGGTGACAGGAACCAGACATCTGAGTTTACCTCTGAAAGCTCCCTCTAAGAAAACTATTTCATGAAATAGTTATGAATACACTGCTTGCGACACTGTTTTATGATACAAATTTTGCCTTAAAATGTAGTTGAATTAATTTATTTTAACCCATTCATATTAGAGGTGGTACATGCCGAGAGCTGTAAGGCAAAATATTGAAATATTCAAAAAAATTCCCAAAGAAAACTTATTTTTTTCAGATTTATGACTATTTTGCCATCATCAACATTATATATAAAAACTAAGAGGGCACGTGTAGGTTCACTCGTGGTTTTGGATAGTAAATGTCTATATTTGTGCTGTAGACATGGTGACCTCTGGTTCCTATCACCACCACTGTAAAGAAAGTCTCTACAAACCAACCATTTCATGTCAAACCACTCTGAAATGATTCTGTTTACATCTCAAGAACAGAACTGTGCAGAAATTTTTAAAAATCGGTGGCATTCCCCTTTAAAGAATCATCTTGCTAGGAAATCATGCTTGTTAGATATCTAGCTAACTACATCATGCAGCTGATATTGCTGAATATACGGATATTAATAGCAAACAAACGTCAAAAATAGCCCTGCAAAAATCGTAAGACTTGTCCCAACACGCCCTGCCAATGCGAAACGTAGGTTACATCACTGCTCCGAAACACGTGGACACGTTACGTAATGTCACGTTTCAAAGCAATGGGGGAAAAAACAAACTAGTGATGAACATACAGGAAGGGCGGTGGAGTTGTAGGTGGTTCCACACAGACAATAAACTGAAGTTTAGGTGTTTTTTTAGCTCTAATAACAAAAGAAAAAGGGAGTGCTAATAACTAGCCGGTCTGTCCTCATCTGTGCTCTGCTATGTCAGCTATGCCAGCTCGTACATCACCATAACAGCACTGTGTATATCCTTATATCATTAATTAAACCCAGCAAATCCGTTGTTATGGACCAACAGATGAGGTTAGTCATAAACATGCTGACCAAAAAATGCAGACAGCTAAATTACTGGGAGTCTTTTCAACCGCTAACCCAGCTCAGCTCCAGAGTGTATTCAAAATATTTGCACAACCACTATAACCTGAAGCTGAAGCCAGCTTCGTACTCGCCACCTTCTTGTTCGAATTCTCCCGTTCCACCTTAAATGGTGCGGCAGTCGCATTCTAGTGACCTGTGGCTGCCAGAGCCAGAGTGCGGACGCTGCACCGTTTAAGGTGGAACGGAGAGTTGGAATCGGCAGCTGCAATTTCAGCCCGTTTTCTTTGCGGTTTTACCACTACCCACAAGAGTAAACTGCTCTTGTGTGGTATAACGACGTTTCAGTTCGTATTTTCATATTTTAGTAAAGCTAAAATGTCGATATTTCGCGACATTTTTAGCTGGAAACGCGTCGCCTCTTTTGGAAACCTCAGGAATTCGGAGCCCAAAAGAGCACAGAAAGAAGAAACGTCGACGAGTTTTGTCGGTTAGTCGGCGATAGCGTTTAAATTAGCATCGAAAATGGTCGTTATCTTCCTGTTTGTAACTTAACTGATATTTATTAATGGAAATAAAGCGATGGCAGATGTTAGTTAGTCGTTTAGCAGACTAAGGTTACTCGAAGAAGGCCGTTAACTCCACTAACCGAGCTTGACACTTCAGTCAGGCGACTGTTCTGCTGGACTAGCTTAGCAACCAAAATACGACTCTTAACAAGCGAGAGAGCCGAGTAAATAACTCACAGTGCAGCTTTATTTCAGTCATATCTACCCTATAAACTCTAACAATCTTGGTAAAAATGATTTTGCCGTTAATTAATGGACTTACTTGGCTCAAAGAAAGAGGACGCCCACAGTCAGCTTTCTCGAAGCCTCTCTACTCTACAGCTGAGCGTACAGAAGAATAACACAGAGCAACCAATCACATTGCGCCCTCCACCCATACCGTGAAGTCTAGCGCAAACCGACCAATCACGTTACGTCTTGAGCCTGTTTCGTGACGTTTGGCACAGACCGACCAATCACGTTACGTTCTGCGTCGCCAGGCAAAATAAACTCTCCTCCACTGTGAACAACATAACTTGGATACTGTAAGAAATAATATAATTATAAATTTAAAAGAAATGTGCTTTTTAATGCGACACCCCTGAAGTGTTTTTGTCATTTTTATCTAATACCATACAATGGAAAAAAGTCCTAAACAAATGATTGAATTTGTTGTATTAAAAAGGAACTTTTTTTCAGACTTTTTGCACAATTCAACTACTAAGACTTATAGTCATTCAGAGTGGCTTGATGTGAAATGGTTCATTGTAGAGAATCAAAATTAAAGTATTTCATGACAGCGGTGGTCAAGCAACGTTAGTTAGAGTGGTTAATCTGGCAAAAAATTCCTTTTGGTCCTATTTTGCCTTAGAACACTGTGCATGTACACTATAGGGCCAGAAGTATGTGGACACTTGACCATCACACCTACATGGCCTGCTTGGACACCCCATTAAAAAACCATTGGCCTCAATATGGAGATATTTGTGTGTAAAACAGCCACTCTTCTTTCCACAAGATTTTGGAGTGTGTGTGTGGGAATTTGTGTCCATTCGGTCAAAAGAGCTTTTGTGAGGTCAGGCGCTGACGTCGGACGAGTAAGCCTGGCTCACAATCACAATGGAAAAAAATATATATAGCCATTTAGTAAGTCATAATAATGAGACCTTTCTCATAATTATGAATTACATTCTCATAATTATGAATTAGTATCTCATAATAATGAGATTTGATCTGATAATCATGACTCAACATCTCATAATATTGGCTACGTCATAATTATGACTTAGTATCTCATAATAATGACTTACTTTCTCATAATTATGACTTTGTATCTTATAAAAATGAGATGTGATCTCATAATTATGACTTAGTATCTCACAATAATGAGATTTGATCCTATAATTATGACTTACTATCTCATAATTATGACTTACTACGTCATAATTATAACTCTATTTGATTTCATAATTATGATTTAATACCTTATAATAATGGCTATGTTACAATTATGACTTAGTATCTCATAATTATGACTTGCTATGTAAGTAATGAGACATTTGTCTCATTATTATGAGATACTAAGTCATTATTATGACACACTATATGGTCTTCTTTGTCTTTCAAGTGGAAATTGGCTTCCACGTTATATAATAAAATATACTTGTTTCCTCTGGTTCCTATCACCTCCTTGGGGTTGTAAAGAAACCCAAGCAGCTCATTTTCAAATCCAGTTCACATCAAACCACTCTCTGAATGACTTTGTTTACATTTAAACAGCTAAAGCTTCCAGCAACTTTGAAAAATGGGGTGGAGTTCCCCTCTGAGACGCCGTTCAATTCTGTACTTTAGGTGGCAGCAGCAGGCCTGGCTGTATTCGGTCTGCCATAAAAGCCACTGAAGAAAAAGAGGCAGGTCAGACGCTCCACATCATCCGCCAACACAACAACAACAGCGGCAGCCCGACCGCCCTGAGACCACGGTGAGACGTTTTTCTCTCTTTATGTGTCGGAATTTATCGACACTATTATGTCTTAATGTTGTAAAACACTGTTTAAGTCTTGTGTTTTCACTCCACCGGCTTTTATTTTGTACGTGACAGTGTTAGAAGGGATATTAGCAAGTTAGCAGCTTGATTATACGAGGCTGAAGTTGGCTTCCTTTTCGAATTTTCCGTTCCACCTTAAATGGTGCAGCAGTTACATTCTGGCGCCTCAGGCGCCAGAATGTAACTGCTGCACCATTTAAGGTGGAACGGAAAATTCGAAAACGAAGCCCACTTTAGCCTTATCTAGACTGGTGTCTCTTCAGCTTTTCTTTATAAAATGACCGTATCAGCCGGTTATAGTCCCATACCTACGTATTTACGCTTTGTTACGTTACCTTTGGGTCATTTTTAAGGAATTTGATGCCAAAACCGGCCAAGCAGGATTTCCTTCTCGGTCCTGAAGGGCCGGGCATGGAGTGACGGAGGTTTTCCATCTGCATTCCTCCACCCTTTAAGAGCTTATATAACATAGACAGAGAGTAACAGTGGGCCTGAGACATTAGTCATATGTCAAATTATCTGTAGTTTATTTATTCTCTTCTTTTATGCATTTTTGTATTTAACTTGAGCGTTGAGGTGAAGGGGAATTCCGCCGAATTTTTAAAATTTCTACATAATTCACTGGTTGAGATGTCATCAAGAGTCATTCAGGGTGGTTTGATGATTTGAAGAGAAACTTACAGACTCAGATTTCTTTACAGTGGTCGGGATAGCCATTTAATTTACTGTCCAGAACCACCAGTGAACATACATATCTTCTTTTTATGTAATGTTGATGGTAAAATAGTGGAAAATCTGAATTCTTTGGGGGCTGTTTTACCTTCAGACATCCTTTGTGTATCCCTCCACTGTGAATGGATTAAAATAAATTGATTAAAATGCATTTTAGGCCAAACTTTGTCACAAACCTACTGTAAAATGATGTCTCAGACATCAGGCAGTGAATTCATAACCGGTTCATGTAGTAACTTTCTGTGAGGGAGCTTTTAGAGGTGGACGTCTGGTTCCTATCACCACCACTGTGAACAGTTCTGACTCTGCAAGTTTCTCTAGAATGAAGTATTTAACACCAAACCACTCTGAATGACTCTGTTGACATGCAAAGTGGCTAATTATGCTGAAATTTTGAAAAATCAGTGGAGTCACCCTTTAGTATCCATATCTGAAATGTTGAATGTTCTTTGCTTCATATGTTTTTTTTTTTTGCTCTTTTGATTTGATTTGATCAAACTTATGGCTAAAACATGAGTTCTCATCACTCAGTTTTCCATATTAATATTAAAATTAGGTCACATACAAGTGTTAACAAAAGAAAATCCAACTTTTATTGCGAATGAAAGTGTAAAACATATAATGAAAAACTAATGGGTACTGTTACCACTGTTTAATGTTAATCCAAGGTGCATCTATACAAAATGTAATTACTTTAAATCTGGTGCGTCCAAACGTTTTGTCTTGGGGGGCCTAAAGTGCAGTTGGTCAATGCTCTTTAAGTACTGATGTCCACAATATGCTCAGAAAAGCCTCAAGTTTATCATGATGATGATAAAATATCGTCACCTCTAGCCGTGAATGTATTATGTCTTGATTTGAAATTCCTTAGTAAACCTATTTTAGCCATTCATGTCTAACTACATTTAGCTTGATACACAGGCAGTGATGTCTAACTGAGTAATTAAACATAAACCTAAATGGTTTCAGTGATGTTTAATTGATCTTTAGTAACGTTTTCTAATTTAAGTGACCTCCTTCTCATCACTGCAACACAGTAAGATTTGAAGATAAATCTAATTTTTGGTAGCTTTTCTTTTCACAGTCTATACACTTCTTCAGTAGTTTAAAGCTAATTAATAAAACATGTATTTAGTGAAATATAGTATTTACTGCACCATATGTCACATGATATTTTGTGTCGCATAACATTTTGTTGTGTTGGTTAAGTTCCTTATAATTTACACAGAAATTATTAAAGTAAAGAGATTCAACAGTTAAAAGTAGTACAGACTCATTATTTCTAGTGGGAAAAAGGCAAAAAATGAAATATCGATAATGAGAAACACAAATAGTGACTTTTTGCTGTGCTGTATAGGCTCCAAATCAGCTGCTAATTGATAAAACTATTGTTTATCAGTGTGATGCTTATGACACTCAAATATTTATGGACGTGCTTAAGCCTTTTAATTTACAGGCAGCTGTTTATCACCTCACATCAGTTTTTCTTTATAATGTATATTGTCATTTATAATTTACAGTGCATACAAATGCATAAATTGTCATCAGAAATTCTGTGTATAGTTGTTTTCTCATTAGTATTGAAAGCTAGTATTTTAACAGTCTGTGCATAGATTTTCTGTTATAACTGTTTCCTGTTTGTATTTGTGTGTATCTGTGATTAGAGATGGATTCGAAGATGAGTGACCCATTCAGCAGTGATTCCGAGGCGCTACCCGCTGCGGGAATCATGGCAAGGTGAGGAAAATCGCACACAAACACAAACGTGCTTCTGTATACACGATATATCAGTGTTTGAATGTTTTAGCAGACGTTCGCTTCTGAGTGCAGTTCCAGTGCAGTAATAATAAAAATCATTAGTAATAGTTATTAGTAGTATTTTTATATTTATAATGCATAATTAACTATTTTGTATTTTTTTTCTTAATGTTTTTCCTGACAGATGTGCAGTAGTAGATTATAGATATTGATAATATTGCAGATACTGGAAATTTAGGCATATAATAATAAGAAGAGGAAGGGTAATAATAATATTAAAAATCTTGATAATAGTAATAATAAATTGTATTTCTTTAATCTTAATATTGTGTCTTTATTGTCTGTATTTTGGAGAATACTGTGATATAAATATTCATGTTGTCCACCGTTAACAGAAGTGCATTGCTCTCTGTCCCTCGCTCTCTCAGGCTGCTGCCTAAAGGTTTGTCCGGTGCTGTGCTTAAAGACTGGCTGGACCGCCGGCGGAAGTCCATCCGCCCCTGGGCCGGCTTCGTGGACCAGCGCAAGTTCTCCAAGCCGAAGAACTTCGGAGACCTGTGTCAGCGCGTGGTCAGAAACCTGGACACATACCACAGCAACTACACCTTCATCTTTCTGGGACTCATCCTCTACTGCATGTAAGAAACACCGTTAGAGGAGCGAACAGCAGATCTCTGACGTGAGAATAAGCTTACATTAGTGCACACAATGCCGCTTTTAAGCCCTCTGTGTTAAACGCAGTATGACGTTTGACTGGTGGTGCGCAAGTTTTGCATATGACTGTCTTTATTTTCTGTATCCGATCTTCACTGATCAAAGCTTGTGCAGGTGACGCTGAAGTCATGAAGCAGTTAGAAGTAAATTTGCCATGTAATAAGGACTGTTAAGAGACAGGATGTTCCTGTGCAGCTGTTGACTCTGGGTGTGTGCGCACGCACTGTTAAATACATACACTGTCCAACAGCCTCTCGTTGTGTAACGATGATAAACAGAACTTTAAGATGAAATTTATGACCATTTCATCACTTGGACAAAGCAACTACCACATACATCAGGATATGGAACAACTCCTTTTTTCATGCTGCCGCACTGCTGATCTCATTCCAGCGGTTTAGTGTCTCCAATAGACTTGATTCTGTGGTTTCTGATACTGTATGAAACACTTTATAAACACGGACAAAACGATAGATAAAGTTCAGCCTTCAGGTTGGTTGCTACTACTGTTTTTAGCTATGGGACATACTTTGGTCCTTGTTTACAGCTGACAGTGTCAGAAACTACATACTGCTTTTTTGTTTTTTTTTGTTTTTTTTTTTATTCACTGGAGCTTCGTAGCTCCACTTTGCTGGTGTACAGTTGGAGACCGAAGCCCAGACGCCTTCATATCTGGACCTAAATCCAGTTTCCGGTCCTCATACAGCCCATCACATTGCTATTTATCCTTAAATCCAGCCCGCAGATCATTTTTACCATTTTCTTTGGCTACATATTTACACCTGCTGGGTAGATTTGTTTCACCCACCAGACCCTGAGGCTGGTAACTGAACATAAGATATTTTATTATTATAAAGTAGGATTTATTATTATTATTATTGTTATTATTATTATTATTATTACTATTACTATCATTATTGTTATTATTATTATTATTATTATTATTATTATTATTATGTTAACAGCAAAAATAGAGCCCTACCAGAGAAGCCATTCAAATGAAAACACTGAGTGGATATGACTGTAATTTAGCTATATTATTAGTATTATTATTATTAGTATTATTATTATTATTATTATTATTATTAGTATTATTATATTTATTCTGATTTAGACTGCCAGTTAGTTAAGTCTGCCTCTATGGATTCATTCATGACACAGCAGAAACGCAGCATATCAGAATTAGAAAATGAATGGAATTTACCAAATGTATCCACTGAAAATTAACTGCTTACTTTGTCAACACTTCGATCGCAATAATCTCACGTTCAGCAGAAACGATAATGGTCTCAGAGTAGTAGTCCCACATAGTTCTACAGTAAGATGTTTTTTAATTGAGCAGTAAAATATTTACTTAATACTCAATGTATCTATACTACTGCTACTACTAATAGTAATAATAATAATAATTTATTATTGTAACTACCATTATTGCTGCTGCTGCTACTACTACTAATCATAATGTTGTTGTTGTTGTTGTTGTATTAATATTAATACTAATACTAGTAGCAGTGTCAGCTTTTGTGGTTTGTTGCAACATAAGAACACTTCTCCAAAATTTTAGTTCACAACTTTATGTAGTTAAACTTCCTTGTCTTTTATGTTTTTTCAACCATCCCCCCTCACCCCCCTTGGAGAAGACCACCTGACTAGTGTCCCGCAGTAATTTGAGCTTGATACCCCTGAGTTAAATAAGCAGTTCAGTTAAATACCAGTGATTATAAAATCCAGAAACAGAACAGAATCCAAGGTCCAGACCTTCTGTAAACCATTTGTTGTTGAACAGTTTCAGTTTTTGGCCCCAGAGCTGATCTTTAGAGCTGATCTTTATAAAAAGGCCAAGAATGTATATTTACAGCTACTGAGCACCATGAACAGCATTCCAGAAGAATTCAGACAGAGATCCTGTTTTTCTGTCCGTCTCACAGTATCAGCTCACCCATGCTGCTCATCGCCTTGGCTGTTTTCGCTGGTGCCTTTTACATCATCCACCTGAAGTCTCTGGAGTCCAAGCTGGTCGTTTTCGGTGAGTGATGATGGCCAAAGTCCTTGTCTGTCTTTCCGTAAACGAATCCTTGCTGTGAGCTCAGTGTGTGATTCTGTTTTCTCCCTGTTGCTCAGGGCGCGAGTTGACTCAGGGGCATCGGTTGGGCCTGGCCGGTGCCGTCTCTCTGCCGGTGTTCTGGCTGGCCGGTGCTGGAGCGGCTGTCTTCTGGGTGCTGGGTAAGTGTCCTCTATCTCGCTGACTTCTCTCTGACATTTGTGGACTGGTCTGCTGTCACCTGTGGGTATTGTATGATGTCTTGTATTGTATGATATAGCTGTGTGTAATCTGTAAACCAGCTCTTGAGTGGAAAAATACAGTTTTATTATTTAAATTGGGCCAGTAGGAATTCAGTTCATAGCATGTAGCATGCAGTGTACAGTATGTATTGGTACAGTATGCTGCATTTCTCTTGGTCCGTTCATCTTGAAACATTGTAAAGGACAAATGACATTTTTAAATTATGTTAAGGTTTTGTTCTTACAGTAACTATATATGTATTGGTAATGTATACAATGTATGTACAGTATAATATGCAGTACACAGTATATACCAGTACAGCCTGCAGTCTAAAGTGTGCAGTGGTACAGTATGGAGCATATACTGGTACACCCTGCAGTATATAGTGTATATTGGCATGATGTGCGGCATGACCAACACAGAGCAGCACTGCTGTATCTGATCCACTCGTACCAGCACAACACACACTAACACACCACCACCACCACAGTGTCACTGCAGTGCTAAGAATGACCCACCAACCACAATACCTGCTCTGTGGGGGTCCTGATCATTGAAGAACAGGGTAACAAAGTATCAGAGAAACAGATGGACTACAGTCTGTAACTGTAGAACTACAAAGTGCACCTATATAGTAAGTGGAGCTGATAAAATGGACAATCAGTGTAGAACCAGTGAGGTGGTTTTAATGTTATGGCTGTACACTGGTACGGTATGTACTGGTACAGTATGCAATTTACAGTGTATAATGGTGCAGTATATACTGGAGCACTATGCAGTATGAAGCATAGTGTAGTGGGTAACACTGCTCTCTCTCAAAATTGTAACAGGCTCTAGATAAGAGTGCCTGTCAGTCACAGTTAATGTACTGTAAATATATATTGTCATGTACACAGTACACAGAATATACTGGTATGGTATGTGGTACATGGTACGTACCAATCTAATGTAATCCACTCCCTCTATCCCAGTTTCTGTTCTCTGATTGGTTGTCTTGTCTTACCCAGGAGCGACGCTGGCTGTGATTGGCACCCACGCTGCCTTCCGTGAGCTGGAGTCATCAGATATGGAGGAGCTGCTGATGGAGCCTGTCTAACCTCTCAACCTCATCTCGGCCTTTCAACCTTTTTTTATTCATCCAAAAAAGCACCTGTCTTGCCTGAACATTGTTACTGTCCTCTGATTGGTTTCGCTTCTCTTGAATAGACTAAACATCGACTCGCTCTCAGGCTGACCAGCCGGTACGGATACGGACTGTTATTGTGGCACAGATGCACTCGGGCGAATATGCACTGGTACCTGTACGCTGACCATCTGCTCACTTTTAAATTGGCTTTAATTGGCAAACAAATTATGTTGTTCATCATGGATGTAACACGAGCTGCTTCGAATGCAGACAGACAGACAGAGATACACTGACTGATAGACTAAGCACAGTAGACCACATATGCCTTCGTTGTTATCCGCCTGAAATTCGCCCATGTCTGTTACTGAGAGACTGCATGAGATCCATTTTTAGTAAGCCAGCAAAGTTAGATTGGCACAAATTATGGTGAATATGTGAAGAATACATATAAGAACATCAGGTCATGTTTTTGAATAGTATTAGCTCCAGCCCTTTGCTCACATCACCCAGTCTGCGTCTAAAGACTGTTGAAATATGATGTTTGAGAATTTTTTAGGGGTGCACATTTCTGACCTCCAAACAGATTTGATTACAGTTCTTTAGGGAAGTATTTGATTTGGTTTGATTTGACTCTTTTGGTTTGATTCAGAATCATTTTCAAACATACTATGAATATATAACTGTGACTTGAACTATATACACAGTAGTGAAGTATAGACCATAAAAAAACAATACATAAAACTGAAGAAATGAGTGTTTTGAATATTTATCAATTTGAATTGAACATTGTGGACTCTGCATCGTCTTGCCACATTCAGATTTTTTTTTTCACCCCTAGAATTTATGCAAAAAAAATTTTTTGACGTTTTTCTGTTTTTTACAAAATTTTAAAATACCTTTTACCCTTTACATTGTATATAAATTTCGTGATGAATAGGCTGAAAGAAATGACCCAAAACTACCTGGAAATAAGTCTGGTTCCATTGACTTACATTAACAGTAAGGTAGGTTTTTTCCTTCTGCTGTAAAGTTACCATTTTGGAGATACAAGGTTTTGTTCCGACAGCAGCGATAAGCAAGTTGGTGTAGGTGCTTTGTTGTAAATGGATATACAGGGTGCCCATCCGCCATTAATAGTTTCATTTTGTGTTTCCTGTTCTTTGTGATATTATGTTAAAATGTCTCGAATCCAACATGCAGATGCCAAGAACCTACTTGAGTTGTAAATGTGCGTCTATTGCCATCCTGTGTACTCTTAATGTAGCCAATTTTTACTTAATTTTTTTATTTCTTTTTTGAACACGTCTGTTTTTGTCTTTTGTTTAACATCTACCAAAAAGGAAAGTGCAATAAAGTCTTACGCCTGTAAAATACAGCGTGGTGTGTTTTTGTCACGTCTACTTTAAGGTGGCTAAAATATAGCATCACAATACTTAAACATTTTGACACAATTCGTAACACAATATTAACTTTTCTGGCATTTCTAAAGATGTTGGAACAGGTAAAATGGACCAGTACAAGAGTAATGGAACATTGTGTGTAATAATTATGAAATACACATGAAAAGATTCTTAAAGGGCATAATTGATAGACACATTTTGCTTTTTGTTGCCATGTGGCAACAGTGTGTGACAATAATCTGCAATACGTAAGCAGTAAACACTGCCATAAGATACAGCCATATTCACTGTTCAAGCATTAAATACATGCGTAACAGCCAAGTATGTATAGATGTTTTATAGATGCATAAAGAATTTGGAAAATATATTAACTTGGAATGTAAAAAAGATTGTGAAGATGGCAGTGTCCAGTAGAAGACGATTCATTTACTTCCACTGCAGACTGCGGTTTGCATGCTGTTGCCATATGGCAACAAATATAATTTATCACTTTCTAAAATCCATGAAATTTAAACTGGCTTCATTTGTACCCTCCCACAGATTGTTTACAGTTTTCCTCATAGTTGTTGTATATGAATAATGACAATAAACACCCTTTGAGGGGGCTTTAGAGGCCTCGCCAATGTGATGTGTGAAGTGAGTGAAACAAATACAGACCGCAACAGGAAGGAACAGTGTGTGCAGGAAAATAAAAAATATAAAAAAATAAAAATGTCATTGTTGCCATATGGCAACGTAATGCTGTAGTGTTTAAAAAAGCGAAAAGCTGCTAAAATTACAGGTTTTGCAATTGTTAAATCATAAATCTAAATCTAAACTAGCCTTTTTTAACGATACGTTCAGTAGTTCACTGCAAATATATCTTGGCAAGTAAAATAAACTTATCAACATACCTAATATTTCTCATTATGAGATTGTTGTATGTTTAATATAAGACTATTTCTAGATATTTTACTTGTTTTCCTCACTACATTGCCAGATAATTTGGCTGATTTGTTTTAAACTTAATTTTTTTACCTTAAAAATAAGGAAACTGTCATTGTTGCCATATGGCAACATAAAGCTGTAAAGGGTTTAAAAAAGGCAGTTTATGCAGTTGTTCAATCATAAATCTGAATCTAAACTAGACTTTTTAATGACATGTTTCAGTTGTTCACTGCAAAGAATATCTTGGCAAGTGACATAATCTTAAATCTAGTCCATATGTCTAATATTTCTCAACTTGAGATTGATATAAGTTTAATATAAGATTATTTAGCTTATTTCTTAACTTATTTCCTTGTTTTAATTCAATTTTTTTCATTATATTGGCAGATAATATGGCTAATTTGTTTAAAGCTTTTTTCTTACAACAAGCAATGATATTTGCAATATAGTGAGATAACGACTTACTAAAATCACTTAAAACAAATAAAAATGTCTAGAAATGAGTGAAATACTCATAATAATCATACAACAATCTCAAAATGAGAAATATTAGATATATACATTAGATTTCACTTGCCAAGCTTACATGTTTTGCAGTGTCCAGTGTTCTAGGAGCGCTGAAGATGCTCAGGATACACTCAGAAATGCATATTGTGATGTAATTTATCACAATAATGCTAACCTATCATCATATTGTGCTCCCCTATATGGGATGCCCTCTGTCTTGCCTGCACCCCCCTCCCTCCTTTGACCTCTCTGACCTTTTCAGCATGACAGAGGTGCCCATCCGATTTCTTTCAGGTTGCCATAGTGATGACCTTGAAGAATGACCTCCCCTTCACGCTTTAAACGTATTGCGGCAAAAAAAAAAGCCAGCCGATCGATATCCCATTACGGTGGTGCAGTGAGCAGGGGGAGGGAGGGGGGCAGACCGCAGTGCTCACACCAGCCTCCCCTGGGACTGCGCGAGAGCGTGTTCTGGCCCGAGCTGCCCACTTTTGCAAGTCAGGACTCGGTGCTGTAGAAGGTTCTGGAGAAAAAACTGCAGATCTCAGCAGATTGACAGCGGATACAATAGCAGTTTCTATGCTGCAAAAACAGCCATTACAATGTATAGATTACAATGTGACTTCTGCATTGGCAGATTAGCAGAATGCTAATCGGCTATCTTACTATATTTTTACATTGCTTTATTTTTTACCTTAATGATTGATCAGCTTTAAGTGCAGTTATTACAGATTAATAATGATGGTTTTATTGATACAGCGCTGTTGAAAACCCATCGATAATCATAGAGTTTCAGATCTGAATTATTCTGATAACTGAGTGTACAAGTATAGACCACAACAGTGTGTGCAGGAACAGGAAGTTACTCAGAAAGCCCTCAGTTTCCTAAAGGAAAAGGAAAAAAAAGACCTTTATTTTGTAGTCAAGCATAAAAAAAAATATATATAAAAATGTCATTGTTGCCATGTGGCAACATTAAGCTGTGAAGTGTTTAAAAAGCCAAAAAGCTGCTAAAATCTCCGTTTATGCTGCTGGTTAATCATAAATCTAAATCTAAACCAGCCATTTTAAATGATGCATTTAGTTGTTCACTCCAAAAACTATCTTGGTAAGTGAAATAATCTTAAATCTATTTAATAGATTTAACAGCAATAGATTTTAACAGATATTACAATATATTACAATGTGACTTGTGCATTGGCAGATTAGCAGAATGCTAACCGGCTACCTATGTTTTTTTTTTTTGTTTGTTTTGTTTTGTTTTTTTCACTTTAATAATTGATCAGCTTTATGTGCAGTCATTACAAATTAATAATGATGGTTTTAATAATACAGCACTGTAGAAAACCCATTGATAATCATAGAGTTTTAAATCTGAATTATTCTGATAGACCACAACAGGAACTAGCAGTGTGTGCAGGAATAGGAAGTTACTCAGAAAGCCCTCAGTTTCCTAAAGGAAAAGAAAAAAGACCTTTATTTTGTAGTCAAGCATAAAATAAAAAGATAAAAATGTCATTGTTGCCATGTGGCAACATTAAGCTGTAAAGTGTTTAACAAAAGCAAAAAGCTGCTAAAATCTCAGTTTATGCTGTTGGTTAATCATAAATCTAAATCTAAACCAGCCATTTTAAATGATGCATTTAGTTGTTCACTCCAAAAAATATCTTGGCAAGTAAAAAAAGTCTTAAATCTCTTCAATAGATTTAACAGTAATAGATTTAAACAGATACAATATATTACAATGTGACTTCTGCATTGGCAGATTAGCAGAATGCTAATCGGCTATCTAACCATATTTTTTCATTGTTTTTTTTTTACTTTAATAATTGATCAGCTTTAAGTGCAGTTATTACGTATTAATAACGATGGTTTTATTGATACAGCGCTGTAGAAAACCCATTGATAATCATACTGTTTCAAATCTGAAATATTCTGATAACTGAGTGTACAAGTATAGACCACAACAGTGTGTGCAGGAACAGGAAGTTACTCAGAAAGCCCTCAGTTTCCTAAAGGAAAAGAAAAAAAAGACCTTTATTTTGTGGTCAAGCATAAAATAAACAGATAAAACTGTCATTGTTGCCATGTGGCAACATTATGCTGTGAAGTGTTTAAAAAGCGAAAAGCTGCTAAAATTGGCCTTTTTTTTAATGTTCTTGTGGTTCTGCAAAAAAATATCTTGGCAAGTGAAACAATAGATTTAAACAGAAATTACAATATATTACAGTGTGACTTGTGCATTAGCAGAATGCTAATTGGCTACCTAACCATATTTTTTCATTGCTTTATTTTTTACTTGAATGATTGATCAGCTTCATCTGCAGTTACTACAGATTAATATTGATGGTTTTAATGATACAGCGCTGTAGAAACCCAACGATAATCTTACTGTTTTAAATCTGAATATTTCTGATAACCGTGTGTGGTTAGCGTCTTTTTAAAAAGTGAATTCCAACACCGCGACAGTCTCCCTGATACAGCTAATCCAACACTGAAGTACTGGCATTTAAAACATACTCAGGAACATAAAAGTTTTTAAAAGAAAGAAAATTTCTAAATAAACGCTTTCTTTTGGTGACCCTTACAAAAAAGGAGTTTATTCACGTGTGCTGTTACTACTCTTAAACTAAAAATAAGTGATTATGCTTTTCGGTATACTTTTATGTACTTATAAGAGATAAACAAACAAAGTTATACTTAAGTATACTCGGCTTATACTGACGAGTATACAGAAAAGTTTAAGTATATTCAGCCTGTACTTGTACTTAATCTTTTGACTTAGATGTACTTAAGTAAATATAAACTAACAGTGTGTAAAGTAACAGGGCAGCACGGTGGCATAGTGGGGAGCAAGGTCGGCTGGGTGACCAGGGTCCTTTCTGTGTGGAGTTTGTATGTTCCCTCCATGCCTCTGTGGGTTTCTTCTGGTTTCCTCCCACAGTCCAAAGACATGCAGTCAGGCCAATGGATATATATAATTTCACTTATATCTACTATACTTAAAAATAAACTTACAATATAAACTAAAAAGTGGACCAATTCAGTCCCAAAAACACTAATATGTATACTGTACGTACATTGATATTAGTATACTTACTACATAAAGTATACTTGGAAATATACTTAAACTTTACTCGTTTACTTAATCAAATGAATTTTGAGTATACTTCTTTGTGAGGGGATGGTGGTGGTCCTCAAGCAAAGGAAAAAAAAATCTGGCCTTTGAGATTCTCTCACTCCTCTTTTTAACAAGCTTGACAACAAAAGAACCCTTTTTGGTGGTAATATAGAAGCCTTTTCCAAAAGGTTCTATATAGAACCATCTATAGCACAGTCTGAAAAACCCTTTCACAATGCAAAGAACCCTTCAATCATTTTGATGGATTCTTTTGCTATAGAACCATTTTCTTTACTAAAGAACCCCTGAAGAACCGTCTTTTTTAAGAGTGTTCTTCGTAGCTATTTTTGCTAAAATAAGATCATTGTAGACGTTTCTAAAAGCTAGCTGATTAAGCGTGTACATGCTAATCAGTC